TCACTTTCGCACCACCTAATCTCTATGCATTGCAGACACATGTGCATTGCAGGGTGGCAGGCAACAATTATGATTAGAAGCATGCCAGCCATGGGCTGCCCGTGTTTTTGCCTACCACGCGAGCATTCACTGATTCAGCCTTCGGGTGCTATAGACAGACTGCTTTAGAAAATAATATGATTTAAGGAGCGTAACTCGTTCAACAAACATTTGCGCTTTGCAATTTAAACTGTGCAACTGTAGCCCACATTCCACAGATATGGGCTCTAATAATAGCAAAGGCAGTTCAGTCCTTTTTAACAGTCAACAAATCAATGTTTAACCTCCTCTTGAGGGTCAAAGTTATCCGACACTTACTCTTCGCATGTCAGCGGAAAGTACATTTCATGGTCCTTTCAATAAAGCCATAAAATGGTAGTCACCGCTGAAACAAAAAGTTTTTCAATCGCTCCGTCAGACCATGTCTCAAAAATGTCTAAATCTGCCTGCTGCCCCATTGACACTTTGACCTGTGACCTCCATTTCGGCACATGATGGGTTTTCCTACCATGATGCCTATACACCAACTATCACAAGCCTTAGGTCGAGTCGTTTAGATTTGTGCCGCAATTCTGCATTTCCTCCCTACTAACCTAAGTTAAGGAGGAATGTTCCCCTTCTTTTACACCTCTTGACCTTTGACCTCCGCTTCGACATCCCAACTCGTTTCTCGGATACCCCCCCCCCCCCGTCCCGACTTTCGAATCGTACGTCGAGCGTTTAGATTTGTGCCCAACTGTTGACGGACGCACGACGACGATCATGCGATTCTACAAGCTGCATCTGAACTACATCAGATGAGCTAAACAAGTGCGCCCAGGCGACGCGCTCATCTAACGTCTACTGCGTGACTCTGTGGTGGAGTGGTGGGATTCTAGTAAACCCTGTTAGTCCGCAAATGTGTTCACATACACGCCGAAACAGTGGAATGCCAGGATGGTATCAGGAACCTTCTCAAAGAATGTTCGTCTGGATCGTATGAAGTTGCCACGAGATGGCGGCGTACGTTTAAGTGTCTTCAGATTAAAGATGGAAGCTCCCTCATACGTAGTAGCAACAACTATCTGCAAGACAGAATAGGTAGGCACTCATCCATTTACCTACGCAAGCCTACAGCTGCGCATAGAGAGCTGCCACCTGTACAAATTAAGGCAAAAACTCCACAGTACCAACAACACTGCACTGGCAGTAGCCACTGGCAGTGGCATACGTTACATGTAACTTACTGACAGTACAGAATGCCATATAAATTATACGATTTAAGGGAGCATAAACTTCTTTAACCAAATTTAGCTTTTGAAATTTCACTGTGACATTGTAGCCTCATACATCCAGGCATGTATAGATTCTACTAGCAAACCGGCAGTCAAATTCTTTCTAACAGACAGTCAACAATTCCATGTTTAACCCTCCTCTTGACGGTCAAAAGGTTATCTGAGCACTTACTCTCGCATGTCAGCAGAAAGTAGTTTCATGGGCTTTCAATAATGCATAAAAAATGCTAGGTCACGCTGAAACAAAAAAGTTTTCCATCGCTCCGTCAGACCATGTCCTCAGAAAATGTCTAAATCTGCCCTGTGCCCATTGACCTGTTGACCTCAATTTCGGCACAGTGATGCCTTTTCCTACCATGATGCTATACACCGACTATCACGAGCTAGGTCGAGCCGTTTAGATTTGTGCCGCAATTCTGCATTTCCTCCCTATACCTTAAGTTAGGAGAAAATGTTCCCTTCTTTACACCTCTTGACTTTGACCTTTGACCCCAGCTCTCGACAGCCCAACTCGTTTTGACGATCCCCCCAATGTGCCGAATATCGTGACCGTAGTCGAGCGTTAAGATTTGTGCAACTGTTGACGGACGCTCGGACGGACGCGACGGACGGACTGGACGATCGTGCAATTGGCTACGAAAGTCAAACAAGAATAAAGAAGACTTATGTATAAGACGTCTTGCTATGCACAAATTAATTTATCAGCAAAAACACCAGACACCAGATGAGCCCTGTCGCACTGCGGCACTTGTTAGGAATATATATGCCTCTCTAGTTTGCACGTCATGTATTTGTGTGTGTATTCTGACAGGTGTGAGGGTAGTGAGCAACGCAGGTGGTGTTAACCCTGATGCATGCGCGAAGGCGTTACTAGCGGCCGCAGCCAAGGCTGGAGTTGACAACTTGAAGGTTGCAGTTATCACTGGTGATGACCTTATGTCACAGGTCAGTAGTAGAGCTGTAACGATCCACCGAAATCGAATCGAATCGCGATTCTCTTCCCTCGATCCGATCCTCGATACTTTTTTCCGTATTTTCGATTTGATCCAACCCGCTAGTACTTCATACTGTGTGCATCGGACGAAGCTTGTATGAGACGCCCGCTCTGATTGGTCAATAGTCCTGACTCGCCAGTCGGCTAATCAGCGGCTACAGCACATCGCTAATATGTTTACAGGGCTGCAGTTAGACGTGACTGCTCGTTTTTTAATTTTAATTATGCGCTTAAAGTTATTTTGTTAAATAAAATTGAGAAAATAGAAAGAATGTATAATAGTTGGTTAAGAGTTTTTATTGCAAAATAATGAAAATATAAAAAATAAGATAACATTTCAATATTTTGGGAATCGAATTGAAGGAATCGAATCGAGAGGCTAATATCGAGATACGGATCGAATTGAGAGGCTTCTACCCCGACCCTAACCCTAACCCTAACCCTAACCCTAGTCAGTAGTATCGGCAATGCATTTACTTTTGCGTATGAAAATGTTCTAGGTTGATGAGTGTAACAATACAATTGAGGCTGAACGTGTTGAACGTAATATTTGAATTTTTGAAAAAACTTCTATTATTTGCTTAATGATATTTTGATGTTGCCTTGTGCACTAATATATTAGTCAATTGATAAAATATCACAAACAGTAATCATATGTTTTTTTTTCAATACAGAAAACTAGTTTAAGTGAACAAGGAATTAAGGAGATGGATTCTGGCATGAACTTTCCCAAAACAGTTCATAGCATGAATGCATATATAGGGTGAGTGGTTTGAAAATAGCTATGGCATACTATAAAACTGGATATGCATCTGAAGTTCTATGTAACTGTGTAACATAGATATGGTAACATTATGCGCTAAACGCTTGTTATATGTGTGTGTGTGTGTGTGTGTGTGTGTGTGTGTGTGTGTGTGTGTGTGTGTGTGTGTGTGTGTGTGTGTGTGTGTGTGTGTGTGTGTGCCACCACGCACGCACGGCCACGCCACACACGCACGCACGCACGCACGCACACGTAATCATACCTGCCAGCAGCAAGCTTGTCATAATCTTTAGGACTCCATTTAAACTGTAAGAAATAAAAGACAGGCATGCATATAAACATTACAACACACAAATAATGCATTGCCTAATCATGTTTTTGTGAAGTAAAAGGTTTATGAAGGGCTGAACATGGATAATTTCTAACTCTAAGCACACTTTAATGTATAGTACCCACACAATATCAATGAATACAAACGTTGCTTATTACTATCCTTATATTATGTTTACACACTCACTGTGTGAAGCAATGGGCCAAGTGCCAAAGCACTATCCACACACCTGCCTGTCACAACAACATCTGCACCCAAGTCAAGTGCCCTGGCTATTGGACCAGCTCTGAAACACATTATTTATTAGGAACCATAAAGTTAGTATTGCTATTATGTAGTTTTGAGCAGTTTTTACATGGACACACGCACGCACGTACGCACGCACGCACACACGCGCGCGCACACACACACACACACACACACACATATAACAAGCACTTTTACGCGCATAATGTTACCATAGTCTATGTTACACAGTT